AAAGAATTTAATTTGTTGCTAAACATATAAATTAGAGTTATGGTTTTCGATTTGTAAAGTTTGTGAGAAAACAATAAAATAGTAACTATCAGTTTTTAATTTAAAAAGTAAATTATTACACAGCCAAAATGTACATGTGGAAGGAATTAATTACTATGATTTATACATAGTTACAAATGCTTATGTATATGAAAATGTACCTTGAAATTTAACGATAGAATTTTATTTACAATTTTTTATTTTTAAAAACGTTAGATATGTATTTTTATCCCTTTAAAAATTTTTTTAAATAAACTTAATACAAAACTAAAAAAAAATGTCCCAGTGTGGCTTTTTGATATGTTTTAGATTCACATTCAAACAATTCCTTCTTTATTGAAATATGTTTCGAATGTTTTCTGATAAAAAAGAAAACCATTCTAACCATAGAGCTAGCTATATACTGAAGCTATATTATAATGTTCCATTTTTCATATGAATACCTTTTGAAAATGCACCAGTAATATTAAAATTCTATCAAAACACATTCTAATAAAAATGGATAAATTAATTGCTATAAATTGGACGACTATGAATGTTGAATATAGTGTAAGGTTACTTTTTTTTTATAAGCAAATATTTGATATTTCAATAATGCAACTTATTGAAACAGGAATTTCATGGAAGCTTAAATAAAAGCCTATATTAAAAAATATTGAAAATTGGTTAAAAAATTCATTTAATTCATAATTTAAAATATTTATTTCACTACATTAAATAAACACTTAATTTTGTAAAAGCCCCAATAAAATTTTAATTTTAGCTGGAAACATTGAGACCATTCAGCTAACAAAGAGTCATATTATCTTATATATATAGGGGAGTGTCGGGTACCCCCGCCCACTGTCAATTTCATATGTATAGAATACTTTTTCAAGTCAATGAGCCATCAGACATTAATTGTTGTATTAAAAAATAAAATATTTTCAAAGTTTCAAGTATTTATGCAGCTGGTAACATGGTAAACAATAGTTTTGAAAATATGTTGAATATATATTCGATTATGTGAATATATTGTGATAAAAATGATAAATGAGGTTTATCTACTGTCAATACATTGGTCATTTTCATTTACACCTGAAAAATCAGTAAAATTTTTTTTTTGTAACTGGGAGTGGCTACCCGACACATTTTGAAAAGAGCTGAAAAACATGTTTTTTTAAATTTCTATTTTTTTAAGTTAAACTATTCTTTTTTCGGTTTATTCTTTTTGCATTATTTAATTAGATAATGAAACAATAGAAACATACAAAAATATTGATTATTACTCAATATTATACAGAAATATAAGCAATACTCCTTAAGTGGGTGGGGCTACTCGACTCTCCCCTAAATATTTTTTTTAAAAGAAAGATAACAAAAATTCTGATTTTAAATTTTTTTTATACAGTGATCTCTCATTTATGTGCGGGGGCGAGGGGCCACACGAAAGGTGCATATAAGTGAGACACGCGTATAAGTGAAAAGCCATAATAAAGATCTTAAAAATAGAACATTATTACATTTACAACAATATATTTCAAATTAATACTATGTATACCTGACTGAACATTTAAATAAGATGAGATTCAAATTTTAATATATTTAACTATAAATTAATAAGTTAAAGAAAATTAAAATGCTTACATACCCAAATTTAATTTTTTATTCCAGTTATGAATTTTTCACAAAATAATTTACAATCGAGGTTTGTTTTTGTTTTCGGGAGTTTCCAAAAAGAGCCTTTTCAAGTCCATCAAGACTTGAAAAAGTTCCTTCACTTCCAGAATGAAATTGAAAATAATCACGCAGAGTTTATAGTGCCTGTAAAACGACTGTGTGAGTTGGGGGAACTTATGCAGTGTCTTCATCAATGTCGTCTATCTCTTCATCATTGTCGGCACCATTTATTTCAGCTGCAATTTCTCCAATATCTCGTATTTGAGCCGTAATTAAATACTCTTCTACGTCAACGAATTCGTTAAAAGTACAATTACCCATTCCACCAGACACAGTATTCCAATCCTCTTCACTAATGTCATTTTCATTTTCGGGCTCTGGCTCTTCACATTCAGATTCTTCTGGAAGCAGAAATCCAGCTTTTTTAAAGCAGTTTTGAATACACTTGTCTGTGATGCTTCTCCATGATGAACACATCATGTGCATTGCATCAAGGACAGTGATTTGTTTTAGCTCGTCTTTTGCTTGAAGTTTTGTTTCCATGGCAGCCAAAAGACGACGAGTTACAGTTTTTTGATAGTGTACTTTTACACAACGGATGATGCTTAGATCCAAGGGTTGAATTTTGCTAGTGCAATTTGCAGGAACATAAACAACTTTCTTGTTCGCAGTTTTATTGCTACTATAGTTGCATGGGAGCTTTTTCACATTCCTAAAACATCGCGGTTTGCTTGATCTTCCAATGACTAATGGTGTGAATTTTTCTGAGCCATCAGCGTTGCAACATAACAAGACAGTTAACCTTTCTTTACTTTTCTTCCCACCATGACATGATTCTCCCTTAAATGATAAAGTTTTGTCAGGCATCATTTTAAAAAAAAGTCCTGTTTCGTCACAATTGTAGATGTTTTTTAGTTCGTATCCTTTTATTAAAGTGGCCAATTGCTCTTTCCACTGTTGAACAGTTTCTTCATTGACACTCCCACTTTTTCCAGAAAGGACACGAGCAGCTAAACCATGTCTGTTTTTAAATTTTTCAATCCATCCGTGAGATGCTGAAAAGTTTTGCATATCAAAACTCTTGGACAACTCTACAGCTTTCCCTTTCAAGAGTTCAACATTAACGGGAATGTTTGAAGCACGATCTTCTTTAAACCTTGTCAACAAAACTTTTAAAAATTCCTCGTACTTCCCACCTTGAATCCTGCTTCTTTTCTTCGATTGCGCACCACATTCTCGATTAGCTATTAAAATCGCTTCTCGATTTTTTAAAATCCCTCTTAAAGTTGATTCGGGGATATTAAAAGATTCCGCCAAAGCTTTTTTCGAGGTGAAAGAATTTTCTTTGAATTTTTTTATCACATCCATTTTAAATGAAAGCGAAAATTTTGTTCTCTTCGCCATGCTGAAAAGTACGCATCTAACTAAACACCGACTTCAGTTAGTCGACGATGTCATGTGGTTTTTGCACTAACATCTTTAATTGGCTGTCAGTTTTACCTACCTCAATCACAAGAGCGACCCCTCCTTGTACCCCTCAAAGTGAAATGTGTTCCTGGAATTTTAACAATAGGGGTAAGAGATAAAAGAGGAAAGCAGTAGGGGAGTCATCTAAGGCCTTAAAATGTGGGTTGCATACCTGCCAACTCTTCCGGATTTTCCGGTAGATTTTATTTTCATTTTTAAAGTGGTAGCAATACTCCGGTTATTCCAATTAACTTTTTGAATTATAATGATAATTATAAATGAGTTTGACCACCACTACATATAAATAATTACAATAAGCATATGAAAGCATAATAATCCTTGCGCAAGCAAATTTCAACGGGAACAAAATATAAATATATTTTTGAGTCAGATTGTTTTTCGTTTATTGTTTTACAACCACTCTGAAAATCCATTTTCGGAAAGAGTGAAAGTTGGCAGGTATGGGGTTGTGACCACACAAAGATAAGAAAAACGTGAGCATTCCAAGAAAAACATGTCAAAAGGATGAAAATTCTTATGATAAGCAATATGCTACACTTTTGGGACCCCTCCTTTTCAAAGTGAGAAAGTTTTTGCGCCGCGCATAAGTGAGAGGTGATTCTTCAGAGCAGCGCATAAATGAAAAAGAGTTATCATTGTTTTTCTATATCCCCAGCCAGGACTGCTACAAAAGCGCACATAAGTGAGAAACGCGTATAAAAGAGAGCATGCATAAGTGAGAGATCACTGTATCTAAATTCAAAAATATTTTTTATGGTGTACACAATAATTTTATTTATCATTAATAATTTTTAAGCAAATTTACTTAAAAATACTATAAAAATGTTCTGATTAATTATTTGTTATCTAAAAAATAATGTCAAGTGATTTATGAAATATTCTTAAATTTATAATATATTCTTAGATTTATATTATAATATATTTTCTATTTGAATAATTTCTACCGAAATAAGTGTACCAATAATGTCAATAATGCTTTTAACATATTATTAAGGAACTAAGTTTCTTAGGTCATTAATTTAAGTTCTGATCAGGAACAAAAATTATTAAAAAATATAAAACTGTTAATATAAAAAATTGTACAAAGTAAATAAAACTAGATGTTGTAAAATTCTCAGAAAATCATCTGTCATAAAACTAATCTTAACTATAAAAGTAAATTATTCAGTTTCGGGATTGTTGAACACACAATAGAATATACGTTATTTAAAAATATGTGTAAAATTTAGAATACTTTAGGAAGTACAAAAAGGTGATCAGGTAGCCTAATCATTGTAATCATTATTCTAAAGCTTGCGCCAATCTTGGGGATTTTTTTTTAAGCTGCACTGCTGCCTAAAGGTTAACATTTGTCAAATTCCTATTATACTCAAATTGTTTGTTTCTTTATTCAAAATGCAATTCTTTGGAAATTTTTAAGTTTCATACTTCATATTTTTTCTACTCACATTTTAGGTGTTTTAAGTCAAGTGAGAGCATGTAAAATCTGTTTCTAAATTTTCTTTAACTTTTTTTAAAGAAAAAAATAGAGAAGTTTTAATAAATTATCAATTTTAAACAACTAAACATTGTAATTCTTAGTGGCTTTTCAGATCTTTCCACTTCTAAAGAGCTGATAAGCAATTTATGTGCATGCGTCATTGAAATCTACATTCTATCATTCATTGCATTTATTTTAAATAGTGCTGAACTCTTAAAATACTAATAAAATATGTTTATTTTATTAAGCTTTTAAGTTTAAAATATTTCCCTTTAGTTCTTATTAAGAATTCTAGAAATGTGTTCCATTTGAAAATGGTTTAATATCTTTTTAGAGTTTTACCAAGTATTATTAAGCATCCAGAAGAATCTATTGAAGATTACAGCAAAAGAATACAAGAAACTATGGCCAAGTCTTTGGAATCTTCTCCTACAATTTATACCTCATCAGATAAAGATGAATTAATAAAGCGGTTAAAAACATCAGCTTTGCCAGGTACTTTTCATTTTAAGTATGAAGTATTCCTTGACACTGATCCCATTATAATGTACCAAATATTTTGTAAATTAGTTTGATTGATAAAAAAAAAAATAAAGCAATGGTTTACAACCAGGAGTCACTTGGCCATTTTGCTAAGACTGACAAGCTGGATGAAGAGATGCCATCTTGTATGCTTTGTATGCAAAATGTTTCTAGTGGTACCAAATTTTGTATTTTAATGTATTATTTTTGATTTAGTATATTTGATTCATAGTTATTTTGCCTACCACTACTTATAAATAACTCATAAGTTCAAACAACTAGTTAAAGTAATTCAAGAGTTGGTATAACTCATTATTTTACTTCAATTATTTTGTGTGCCTTTTGAAGTGTTGGAAAAACTAAGGAAGTTTTACATTATAGTTTTCTACCTCTATACAAATCTTTTAAGAAAACAACAGTTAGCTCTCTGAAAAAAAAAATAGTTTTTGCTAAAATTCATAATTTTTATAATTTTTGAGAAAGAAAGTAAAATTTCCTTATTAAAAATAATTTATTTTGTTAATATGGAGATAAACAAAAAATAACTGTATTAAGATTATATTTATTATGGGAATAAATTATATGTATCCCTTTGACACTGTATTCATTATGTTTCATCATGGGTAAAATGGTTGAGCTTTAACTACACATAGCAGCTGAGCATGGGTTTATCTTCTACTGAAAAAATAATAATGCTTACTTTCACTGTGATTGATTGTTGAATAGGTTAAAAATTTCAGTAATGAAATAGTATATTTATTAATACAGAATAACATGCTATACAGTCAGCCCCGCTTAAAGGAATACCATCGGTTCCAACCAACTCTATTCCATTAAGCAGGTTATTCGATTAAAAGCAGAGTGCATTATTCGATCTTAAATACTATGTTTTTACAAAATTTTACTTCTAAATGGTATTTAATACCTATTCGGTTGTTCGATAATAAATGTCATTTTTTCATGTTTTTCAAAGGTATTTTTTTAATATTAACAACAAACATTAATCAATGATATATTGACCATTCTGTTGGATTACCTTCAGCCACCTTTCGATAAGTTGAAAAATTCCACGTTCGAAGAAGCTTTGATTTTTAGAAGCGAAGAACTGGTCCAACTCATTTTTAATAGCCTGATTGGAATCGAAAGTTTTACCATTCAAATGGTTTTGAAGGGATCGAAACAAATGGTAATCTGATGGTGCTAAGTCAGGGCTATAGGGTATATGTGGCATCAGTTCCCAATTCAGCTCCATTAATTTTTGACGGGTTATCAAAGATGTGTGGGGCTGGCATTATCATAATGGAACATAACTCTTTTGCGATTGGCCAGTTCAGGGCGTTTTCTCTTGATTTCTTCATTTAATTTTGATAGTTGACGACAGTGGACATTTGAATCAATAGTTTGATTTCTTGGAAGCAGCTCAAAGTAGACTATACCCTTACAATCCCACCACGCAGAAAGCATAATCTTCTTTTGGTTATATTGACTTAGGATGTCGATTGTGGGAGTTCATCTTGCTTGGTCCATGATCGTTTTCGGACTACGTTATTGTAAACAATCCATTTTTCATCGCCCATTATGATTCTTTTCAGAAATGGGTCGTTTTTGTTACGCATAAGATTTGCATTTAAAGATTAAGATTTGCATTTGTTAATGCGTTTGGTGAGGTGGATTTCCTTTAATTCGTGAGGAACCCAAACATCCAGTTGTTTTACGTAACCAAGCTGTTGTAAATGCAAGTAAACGGTTGAATTTGAGCTGTTGAGCTTCGATTAACGCTTTTATTTTGTCGTCATCAGTAGTGGTTGGACGACCAGTATGTGGTGCATTTTGCTCATTAAAATTTCCAGCACGAAAGCGAGCACTCCAACGCTGACACTGGCGTTCAGTAAGGCAGTCCTCACCATAAACTTCACACAATTTTTTCCTAGCTTGCACTGCTTTTTCGCCCTTTCGGAAGTAAAACAATAAAATATGACGATAATGCTCTCTTTGAGTGTCCATTTTCAACTAAATTTTTAACCAACTTGTTGTTTACTAATGACGCTCTGGTTTTGACTAAAGAAAGTCTAAAGTCTAATCTTCAAAATAGTATATAATAATGTAAGCTACGCAATCACTACTACATTAAATATGCAATTCAAGTCATCTATGAGAAAAAAAACTACATTAATTATCGAACAACCCAATAGTATAATGTTATGATTAAATAAACTCAATTTTATGATCAACAAACAATTATATTTAAAACTATCAATATAAGTTCTCATAAAATATGAATCTCATTTAAAGTAATAAGAAAATAAATCAATGATAATGAAAAATATAATATACATACTATAATATTATTTTATTCCAAAAAAATCTAATAGAAAACTGTTTTGATACACGTTTAATAGAACATTTCTTCACTTCTTTTTCTGTACATTATAGTCCCCTCCATTACATTCAAAATGTCCCCTTATTGTGGCTAAAGAATTAATTGTTGGAGGATGGGGTAGATGGTCCTGGTCCTCTTCTTCCTCATCTGCTTGCGCGGCGATTGTCGTGCTATTACCTTCTTCTAATTCAATGTCTTCCACTTCATCCAAATTTATAAACTCTATCCAATCATTATCTGTCATGCCCAACCCTTCAAATTCGGAATTCAAAAATTCTTCTAAGTCGTAGATGAATGTTTCATCATCTCTAATTTCTTCGGGTGGGAAAAATTGTGCTTTTTTGAAGCAGTTATTAACCACTTCCATTGGGGCACTATCCCAGGCATGTTTCACGCAGTGTATTGCCGTCAAGAGGTTTACTTTTTTATAAACTGACGGCAATGATTCTTCTGGTGTAGCTTCTTCCAAGAAGCACAAGACCTCTTGAATCACTTGCTTCCGATGGCAGGCTTTAAAGGATCGGATAATTTCCTGATCAAGAGGTTGAATTTTGCAAGTTGCATTCGCGGGAAGAAATTGTTAAATGATATTGGTCAGGCGCAGTGAGTAAATTTTATGACTTGAAACATTGTCAAGAAATAAGACTACTTTTTTATTTCGCCGTTTAAAATCCAAATCTAAATTGACCAACCATTTTCTAAAAATGTTTCTCGCAATTCACACATTTCGAGATTGCATACGGAATCAGGCATTTTTTTAATCCCTTTTAAGCATCTCGGCTGCTTGCTTTTTCCAATCATTAAGGGCTCGAGCTTTTCTGCCCCTGCTTGATTGGCACAAAATCAAGGTTGGCAAGTTTCTGCCGAGGTGGTTAAAACCACTGGTAGAAACCGGTTAAAACTGGCATGGCAGAAACCCTTTTCTGTCACATTTGTGGCAGAAATTCAGAAAATGACATGAAAGTAAGTACTGAGATTGACATACAATCAATAATTCATAGAAAATTTTTTTTTAAACAAAATACAATTTATTTACAAAATTATCACCATTCAAAATAAAATATAACATTGTTTTGCACTCTGCAGTTATCTATACAAAAGACAAGTTTTTATGCAGTTTCTAAACCTAAACAATTTCTCAATTTGCTATGCATAACGAGAAATTGAGAAGATTCTCTCAAGTCCAGCAGAACTAGCAGGCATTGCCATCCGCAAAAGATTAAAACTGTTACTGTTATAATAATTGGATTGTTGCCATGCAAATTATGTCGTGAAAAGAAGAAAAACTATTTGAAAATAGCTCTATTCAGTTATGTTAAGAGTTAAATGATAATAATTACTGAATTTCAGAGTTTAATATAATAAACTGAAATCTAGTATTTAAATTTATTATTACATTACTTTATTCTTTATTTTAAATAACTATTTGGTATACTGCACTCCTTATATTTAATGTAAGCAAAATAATATATATTTACAAACAATGAATTAAAAAGTTTGTTACAGTTACATGGAGGTAAATTTTTTTAGTTTACTTAAACAATTACATTAAGTAATTACTAGAACTAATATAGAAGTTTTTTTAGTTTCTGCCAGTTTTTACCGGTTATAACCAGTTTCTGTTTGCTTAGTAAGGCACATTAGTTTTGATACTCCTATTTCCCAGGGCAGGGTAGTGATTGTAGCTCTAAAATAAATTTATATTTCAATAAAAAAATTTTTTAACATTGCTTTTGAGATAAGAATGCTCTTAATTATATCTACTTTGATTATATTTATAAGTATAAATGCTCATAATAATTTTTTATATTAAGTTTAAGAGATCATGGCTATCAAAATTAGGTTTTACTTGGGCTATAGTATACTTTACTGAACTCAACACATTTTTATGAAAAATAACAAGAAAAATGTACTAGTATATCAGCATATTTAAAATCTGAAAGACAGCATAACAATTAATATCTGTCATAGCAATTTAATGTGTTTTTACTAATTATAACAAATGTGTTTTTATTTTATTTAATTTAGTTTTAAGAAATTGATTTGTTTTTCATGAGGAACTTATATGCAGGCAGAAACTTGTGTGATAACTCTTCTTTATCTTTGAAATATGTTGACTAAATTGCATCATTATGCTATTTCAGTATTTTTTGTTCTCATTTGATTACTTGCCTATATAATGAGAATGTGTTAACAGTTTTGTATTTTAATTTAATGTAAGGAATAAGGCTAGTAGCTTAAGTTATAAATAATGTTGGCGCAATGATTTTTTTTAGCAAAAAAGCGTAGGTTAAATGATTTAAGTTAAAATTAAAGTACTATGCAGTAAAATCTGTAAATATTTTTATAAAGTACTTTAATAAATTGATTTTTTTACATGTTTGTGAAAAATACAATTGTTTGTGTTATACTTTATCTGATAAAGCTAATCTATTACTTCATGTTATTTAGCTTCTTCGTGTCCAGCTTCATCCCAAGTTAATGTTCCTGCTTTAGGATTGCAATCCTCCGATCAAGACATTTTAAACATGCAATGCACGCAGGTATGTATGTTTAACTAGTTTAAATAAATCTGTATATACATGCAATCCACAACCAATGAAGTGACCTTTAGTGCAGTAAATGTATACTGAAATTACAACATAAGTTTGGTATGTCATAAGTGTGCAAAAATATAGTAAATAATTGTAACTAAAATGTGTTAGACTAATTTTGATAAAACCATGTTGTATTTTTATATAAAAATTAGGAAATTGGCAGAATAATTCATAATTAATGCAGCATATTTTTTATGTAAATATGTAATGGTACATTAGTATCATTTATAATTATACATTAAAGGGGAAAAATGCATGAATAAAAATTAGAGGTAAATATATCAATTTGTGTTATACGTGTATATTGGCAGCCATTTTTGCTAACTTTAGAGAATTCCAGAATCAAAATAAATTTAAAAAGTTTGCTACTAAAAATAAATATTAAATAATACTAATAAAAAATAACTGGATTAACATTTTAGGAAAGGTGAAAATACTTTAAAATTCGAAAAGTAGGACTTATAAATGTACAAAGATCAGTAGTGTGTCCTTTTAAATTTAGTGAATTCAGTAAATTTAGTGAATTCTTCATGTTAATTTCTACAGGATAATGCATTATCCTATTTTGATTATCCCTATAAATCTGAATAATCCTTATTTCTCTATTTTCTGACTCTACTTCACATCTATGATTGCTAAGCATATGAATCTAGAGATCTTGAAACTCGTTATTTCTTCAAATAATTTCAAGTTGTTTGACATTTAATATGCTGTCAAAGAAATAGGGGTATATTTATTTATTTTTGAGAAACTTTTAATATGAAATGACTCGTTGTCATTGGATGTATTTTATTTTTAAAGTAATCTGTTTTATAATCAATAATCTTCCTTATGGGAACAAAAAAAGTTTTGAGTTCTGACTCTGTGGAAGGTTCATGTTTATAGAACTGAAACTATAGTATGTCTATTTTTATATCTTCTTTTTTGTTTAATTCATATATAACACAAAGTTTACCATATTTTCATTTGGACACATGAAATGTTTGACTTGTTTCTTGACCATTTAGGGAAGAAAAAGTCATTGGAATGAATAGTTAAGTCTGCTTGTTATGAAGAGCATTAAATAAAGTAACATTACATTCAGTGTTCATTCTAGTCCTTAAAAAAAGGCAGGGCCTTTGAAACTGAAAAGGGCAGTTGTAACAAGTTTTTGCATAGCTTTTGAGACACTCAAAAATATATGAAGCTCTTAATTTTAGATTATTTTTTTTTGTTGAAGATTAGTTTAAATTAAGAATAATTCCTGAGTTAAATTCCCACGTTCTATAAATTTGCTGAAAATGAATGAAAATAAGAAGTAATTGTTATAATTGGCAAAAAATTACTGAAAATTAATGTGGAATTATGATAATTAATATCCAAATTGACAAAACCGATAAGAAATAGTCAAGAAATGACAAACAGCTGCCAAAAAAACAATCCATAAACAACGTTGGTTTACAATGGAGTCTATCTGAATTGAGAATGTCAAAAAGTGACTCCTTAAATTGAAAATCTTGCTAGTCGTTATAACATATAAAAGTTAAAGAAGAAAAGAAAAATGAAAATGGCCCAAAAAGTTGCGAGGCTTTCTGACCGCGAATTGAATGAGTCAGAAAGTGATAACTCAAATTTGAAATAACATATTAAAGATATCAGAGTTTGAGTAATCATGTGTAAAAGGCTGAAAATATGTTAACTATCACTAAACAATGTCAATTATGTTGGAATCATCACAAATTAAATGCCTGAAATGATAACTCTAATTCGAAGTTGAAACATTGTAATAAATCTGATAAAAATATCGAAAAATATAAAAACCATATGCAAAGGACTAAAAAAAATGCTATATAACTACTGAAAAGACTATTCTGTTGTTTGGAAAGTTTGTGACGGTACATGCATTATCTAGCATTGTAGAATCTATGTAAACTTTCTGAATGACCCAATATTATCCGTCGATGAGTAATTACAACAATATCATCAAAAATCTAACATCGTAGAAAAAATATCCTATTAAAAATATCGAAATTTTAAAAACCACGTGACAACAGACACTAAAATGATAAATAGGAAAAATTGTGATGAAATCAAAAAGAATCAAACGCATCAAATAGTGATAACTCAGTTTGTAAAACCATCATGAAATAGTGTGAAATTGCTTTGCAATAGTCACAAACTAAATGCAACAAAGTGATAACGCAAATTTGTGATTCCCATGTCATAACAACATTGTCATATTGAAACTATCGAATTTGAAAAACCGGTAAAAGTAAAAGGCCAAAAAAATAATAAATAGCTTCCGAAAAAATATCATTAAGCAATGTTAAATTCTGTTAGAATCGTCACAAATCGAACACTTCAAAGAACTAATAGCTCAAGTTTGAAATGCACTTCGCATAATAATGTGTTAAAAATATCGAAATTTGAAGAACCACAAGGAAGCGTTCGAAAAATGATTAATTATGGCAAAAATTTTTTTTTACTGCCCAAACAACTATCGGAATACCTTGTTTATTTTGAAAAAAAAATCTGTGCGAATAGACAATCCTCCCCCTTTAATATATTTGAAATTTATAAGGTTCACAGGCCTAAACTGCAAATCCTTCCTAAAATTAACCCTTATTGTATGAAATAGCAAAAGCGTACTTCATGCATTGTTATAATGGAAGGGTTGCTGTAAGTGGTATTAAAGAGCAAAGAATATTATAATATGTATGATGTTAGAACAATAAAACTCTTGTTTTGTTTCTTTTATTAAGGATCTGTCGATGAATACTGCTGCTGCTAGTTTTGGAAAAACACCTAAACAGCGTATGCTTTCCTATCAAGAAAGACGTGCTAAGCTGATTGAAGCAGCTAGAATAAAGTATTTACAGAAGCGTTGTAAAATAGTAAAAGAAAACTAGTGAAATTGTTATATTTTTTTTGTGATTTTTAGGGTCTTTATTAAATAACTAATCTTAAAAAAAATTAATAATCTTGTTCAAAGTATATAGAATGAACTAGTGAAATTTTATAGTTTGTGGAGAAAATTTCTATTTAAAATAGAATTACATATCTAAAGTAAGATTTCCACTAATTTCTTTATTAAGTCTGAAAATAAAGGGAATAAACTCTTTAAATTTTACAAAGTAATTTATTAATGTTTTTTTTTATTATCCTAAAGTATCTTATATAATTTTTTATTTTTGTATTTCTATGAAATCCTAATGCAGGATGTTTAAAAAAAATTGATGTTTTGCAACTTTGAGATTTGGAAAGACACACATATATGACATATTCATCAAAAACAGCTTGACCTTTTTTCTAATGTATCACGATTGTTTTTTATTTTCCATGCAAAAGTTCCTAACACATTGCACTCATGTGAAAGAAAGTAATAAGTTTTTATATTTATTAATAAGAGTTAGGAAATAAAAGTGTAATGCTCATTTTATAATTTATGAAATGGTATTAAAAACTTTTTATACAAATTTTAACAAATGTTTTAACCTTTTTAATTGCTTGAAACTCTACAAAACTTACTCAGTTTTTATAAGTATTTTTTTAATTTCCCTGAATCTATTTTAGTAATTTATTTGCAGCAGATAAATATTTTAGTTTCTTTTCATTACCAATGACTCTTTGACGTTTACTATTCCTAACTCTAGTTGTATTTTAATTGGTAATGATAAAATTAAAAAATTTCTTTACTTCCTATTTTAAGAAATATTTAGATAAAGAAATACAAATTCTCGATCTAAACTTTTAAACCAGAATTACACATTATCTTTTATTAATGTGTATTTCTATATTTTGCACGTCATTAACTTCACATAAATTTAATCCTCTTCTTATTACTTTATTTTGTATGCATTCAGTTAACACCTCATCTTTAAATAGTATTCTTCTAGTTTTGCTGTTGGTGTTTGCTTAAGTTGATTGCAGAACTTTCTGTGAATCGTGAAATAGTTTTGTTATAAGAGCCTAAATAAAAAAGTACAAGTACTTCATCACTATCGAAAAATATGCAAAATGTTATTTTGAACACAATGGATATATATATATTTATTTTATCACATTGCTATTGCATACTTTTTAAAAACTGAAATGTATTAAATAATATTGCTTATGTAAATTTTGTAAAAAAAAATGTATATATCTCTCTTTATAATCAAGACTTTAAGATTACTTGTATTTGTGATATCTTTATATTGTACATGTCTGATGTAAATAGTATTATATTAAACTAACCTATTTTCAATATTTTTTACTTTTCTTAGTTCATACTGAATTCACACTTTATAAATCATTGCATTTATTTTTAAATTAAATAAGAAGTAAAAAGAATCTATTATACGAAGTTCATTATTAATTTTTAGAGAGAAGAATGAAATTCTCTTAGTTAGTAAATTAAAAACGTAATTTTCTCATATCTGAGTTGTGACTGACATAAGAATTTTATATAACTAAGTTCTTTTAGAAAGTTTTAACTCTTATCTGAAATGGTAAGTAGCTAAAGTATAGTATAAAAACAAAAATATTCATTGATCATAACTTGAAATTTCAAACCACTTTTATAACAGTTTCAACCAAACTAAAACCAGACTACAGTGGAACCTTGATAATTTCAGATTTGATAGTTTGAGTTTCCCATAAATCTGAGTTAGTGGTAAATCAGTTAAATTCCCAAATAGCAATCAATGCATATATAACATTTAATAGATTTACTGCTTCAACATTTTAATGCCATTGTAATGTGGATTAATTAAATTATAATGGGATTCATATTATGTTTTAATTAGCAACTCATTTCTAGTTTAGTTCAGCCCATGGATCTGAGAGTTCTCTAAAACTATTGCTACTGATTGCTTCAATCTCTTCTATGTGCCACAAAAGGTTACAAAACTATTGCAAAAACTTTGAAAAAAAATTGCTTTGAAGGAATTACTGTGAAGATTTGCTGTATTCAGTGGCTGGATCATCATACGTTTTTAATTTAAACATACGTGCGATAAAATTTTCTGAAATCTGTTTAGTCAATTAAATTTCATGATACCATTAATTCTAATTATCATGATTTATTGTATTTCAAGTCATCCAAATTTAAGTTTTTTTTATGCTTTTTGACCTTAGAAACATATTAGTTCAAGTTTCTATAATTCAATGTTGGTCCAATTTCCTTCACTTCAATTTCTTCACTTCAGTATCTTCATTTATTTTGGAACACTCTACTGTCAAAATATTTTTCCCTATGACATGTTTCTGACAAAAAAGTTTAAACCAGTCAATTTTAATACAATTCAACTCCTTGTAATAATTGCCAAATTGTTAATGTAAAATAGTTTTATATCTCAATTTGAGTTGAAAATTCAAATATTGCTTTCAAGTTTTCTGAAAAATTAAATCTTTGCTAAATACGAGGTTGACTACTACAGTTGCTTTATTCTGAACATTTATGCATTAATTATACATTGTGTGCTTTAAGTATGGGTGTACATTTAAAAAAGATAATAAAGCATTATAAAATTAAAATTTTTTTCTTAGAAATACATAGGGTAACTCCTTTTTTATGCTTCAACTCAATATATATATATATTTTTTTATTGTTCAAGCTGTGTTGTTATAATAAAATTTTTATTGGAGTGGAAGTTATTGCAAAAGAGAGAAAAAGAGTGAAATCTTAAATTTTAAAAGATAATTTATAATCAACTAGTATCAAATAAAATGAAGTTATCTATGCTTCATTTGCTAAAATTTCCTTATTTTTATATTTTTTTTAGCCTCTTTAATTTTTCTCTTTGCTTTCTGAGAAATATTTATCTGTGTTGGAAAAATTAAATATTTTTCTTTGCATATTTATTTTCATTTTTCTTAAAAAATAATTTATAATATATAGGAGCTTATAGATATATGAATTATTTATTAATAAAGCAAATGCATTGAACTATTTAAAAAATTTTAAAATTTCCAATCTGAGCTGTTATCTTCTGTATTAACCAATATTCCTAGAACCATCGATAAGAGAATAAAAAGGTTAACCTCTTAAGGACGGGTGAGTCATAAATGCATTTGTTCAGAATAAGATTGAAAAAAAAAAATAGAAAGTGTTAACCTTAAATATGGGCATGGTTAATTTTATAGCCTTATTTTTGCTTTCACTGTTATTCTAACATATTTGATCAAAGTATAACTATATAATTTTTATTTCCAACTAAGTAGCGAAATAAATAAATTAAACTATTATTACTCTGTCCACAAATAAACTGTTAAAGAAATAGTTTGGTACCAGTTTTATCTTTTTTGCAGTGATTGTTGCCAGCCTGATAATGCACGTATAATGCATGTATGTGAAAGGTAGTTATCTCAGGTCACCAATGTGGGCAGTTATCTACAATGTCAACTTTCATCTATCTAAAGGTACCTCAAGATTGAATTGAGCTAGCATGTCTTATATATATCAGGGAATTAATGTTTAATAATTGTAGTGGTAGTTACGCCTCAGCTAGTTCTTTTAAAAATTCTTTATGAGCCCCAGCATTCAATGTCTATAAATGGCACATGAAGGACATTCTTATTTCCTGGCTGTTATATATCTCTTTTTCTTTATGTAGTTGTGCTTTTTATCTCTTCTGTCCCACTTGCAGATGAAATTGCAGTACTTGGTGCAGTCTCACTAAAATGGTGATAACTTTTAAATCACAGTAGACACACAGTTTTTAGTGGAGATGGCATATTTAAAAAAAAAGAAAAAAAAAGCATGTCTCTTTAAGTACGTAGAATATCTAACTGATATACTGATGCATTTTTTGTTTCCTGTGTAATATTGTTTTTGAACTGGTTTTAGATGAGTCATTGAATAATTGTCATTTTTCAATGTTGTGTCCACCTTGAGGCTTGACAGCAGACCTTGAATGTTTGTACAGTAGCAAATAGTTAGCTCCTTTCAAAAAATTATTTCTGTCAGTGGCAAAAATATGCATTTGTTTTACCTGATGTTTAGTAGTTGTACTGGTTAAAGAGGTGAACCAAGTCTCTTATGAGGTCACAACAATCAACCTTTTTCATAAATGAATAACTTCTTCAGATTTGTTGTCATGGACTGATTCGTTGCTGTTGGATAAAAGACAACAATTTTTTCTTTGCATTTCTTCAACCGTAAACTCAATAAGAGCTATTTAAAAACGGAAGGAGCACCTGGATGCTTTACAGATGCACGTTTTATAACATATGTAATTAATACCTATAGCCGATCCTGCTTATTTCAAATACTATGAAAATAATGTCTTTGCACATACATTTTTAAATAGGTCGTGGTTAAAACAAATATTAACCATGCTCCATGGAGAAATTTTTTTTCAGTATCTTCAAAACTTGACATAATATTGGAAAACAGTTATAATCCTTTCATTACTACAAACAGGGCTGGTCAACTAAAGCTACAACCCCTAGCCCAAGTTCACTGAATGGTCCTGCCAGGGGCTCATGTTAATTTTCACAGTGCTAACTAATAATTATAAAAAATAAAATTCTCATCAATGCAAGAACCGAGGTTCTCAAGCCTCCCTCTTCCCCTGAGTGCCAGGTGACTGGTTTTATTTTTTATGATATCAACTTATGTGCATGCCAAATTTCATTTAAATCGCTTCCACTAGTTTTGAAGATATTGATGAAATATGAATATTCCTTTAATTTTGATCATTAAACTATGCATAGTTAGTAGCATCATTTTTTAAAGACAAAACTAACATTTTGAAAAAACAATTTGAGAATAGCATGATATACCTGTTTTTGAGAGGTGGGAGTTTTAGTAATTGTAAATCAATTTTATTATGAATTGTGATTTAAATGAAAAAAAAATACAATTAATGGAACTTGAATAATTTAATGGCCTTCTCTTAAGAACTCAACAAGTATATTTAGTTCTTTAGCATTCTCATCTAACTTTTTTTTAAATTTCCAATGGCAGATTATAGACAGTAACAGCATCTATTAATCACAACATGTCTCTAGCTTCCCAATAGCGTTCAGTGATAGAATTCCTGCAAAGTGCAGAACAGTGGAGAAGGTGCGTGGAGTCCATGTTCTCACCAAAACTACAAAGAGTGCATACCGGGAAGGGACGATATCAAATCTAGACAGATGTTCCCCCAGACAGTCATGACCGGTGGCCAAGCGGAATTCAGCCACCGCTCTTCATCTTGGGCCATTTCGCAAATTTAGGATGGTAGTCCTCCAAGACTTACTACAAGTAAGGTCGATAAGTTCTTCATGAGCACAGGTCTTAAAGATCCTCTTAATAAGCTGTTTGATGGAACAGAAGGGCATAATGTGCGCAGAAGTATGAATAATTAAGGTCCCCTTTTTGCTAAGAAGTCAGCATTTTCATTACCCGTATTCTCATCTAACTTAAAGGATTGATTATAAATTTGCTATACTACTAGTGCTTTGCCTACTTTATATCAGGATTTGAAAAAAATACGGGGATTTTTGAAAAGACCTAGGGAAAATTTTGTTTTATTCGAAAAATTGTTTTTTTTTTTCATTTAGTGCTCATAAACTTTAAAATTTTATTGTGAAAATATTTTTATTTATTAAATAGTGTTGTATAAGCTTAAAAATAGAAATAAATCCAAAAAGTTTATATAAAATATATATAATAAAATTGAAATAAGTTTAAATAATGCACCATCACTAATGCATGTTTGAATCTTTATTGTTAAATACATAACGTTTCACATTTTTTAACTGAAGCACTATAAAATATAAATGCAACAGTAATATAAAAGGAACAAGTTAATTAATCTTTTTATTTTCCCACACATCTATTTACTATATTTATATGCTGATTATAATCAATAAATATTTATAATCAGAAAAAGCTAAAATTTCATCTGACTTTTACCTTTAATAAAGTTAAACTGAAATAAAAATTTAATGGTTTTCCATGTTTTTATAATACGACTAATAGAAAGTGAAATTAAATTTACATATAATTATAAAGAGTATCAGTTACTTGTCCCATTTTTCAAGTATTTAACCTTAGAAAAAAGATGGCATTTTTAGGCAAATTTTTACTTTATAATTTAAAAAAAAAAACAAATTAATCTGTAAAATTATAAAGCATATATAAAAAGTTTTAGCTTATTTTTTGAAAACCAGAAAATAAAACTAATTATTTAATTGTTTAATGTATCACTTAATAGTTTGTTTGTTTTCAATTTTTTAAATATGATTAAAGGAAACAAAATAAATTATATTCAAGT